TGTCTAGAAAGGCCCTTATCAGGCATTCTGTAGTCAGGGAGTCTTCATAACCACTTCCTTAGGGGGATGTTGATTGGAATTACCCTTTGGAAGAGCCGCTTCTCCCTCGACCAGAATTGTATCTTTTTCTTGACATTTGAATTTTTTTAAAATATTATTCCTAGTGATTCTTTATTCAAATTTACTGAATTGAATTTAAACAACTATAAGCCACTTATAATATGAAATTTCAGAAGCAAGATTTTATGTAATGGTTAGTGAGATTATTTTGAAGCTATTATTCTGACTTTCACAACCTCATTCTCAAAAAGCAATTATTTTAGAATAAGAATGGAAATCTTGAGAGAAGAATTTTATTGAGCTCCTCCAAATTTTCAATATTTGTACATGCTTTGCTCTAAAAATTATATAATGAGAAGGAAGAGCAACAAAAATTCAAATTCCAAAAAAATTAGGCGCAAATGAATCCTAAATTTTCAACGCTTTCATGCTGAAATTTAGCATTAACTTAATAATCGTAATAAGCTAAAAGATAAAATGTTTATATAATTCGAAATAGATTACTTGTAATTACAAATAATTAAGGTAATTTTCTTAAGCCTAACCTTTATAGTATAAAAAATATTTTTAATTAATTTGATAAGAAAGTCAAAGCTATTATTAGGATGAATAAATAGTCAACCTGATTTGTGTTATTATATTAATTTTTAAAGAATTACCAATTTAACTTTCACTCAATGATTTTATGGTTTTCCTTTTAATATATTTAATTGCTATAAGAATAAATACAGTCTGATTGAGTTCTATAATTATGAAATTTGTTTTATACATAGGGAGTGTTTTTCAGAAAAGAATTTTTAAGTTTAATATTATACATAATAAAAACTAATTCTTGCCTTCCAAGTAAGATTTAATTGAGAAACATATCACCTAACTAATAGAAATTAATAGAAGAGCATGAATTCTTGTAATCAAGAGGCAATCAATCCTGAAAGGTTTTGAAAAACCACATTCAAGAAGAAATCTTATAATGTTGAAGGAAGACCATTCATATCTTACCTAGATGAGCAGTTAATTAGAGAGGATGAGGCTAGAGGATCCTAACTATTTTTTTTTTGAATTTTCCAACTTTCTCAAAATTAGTTATTCAATTCTCAAAAATTAACATAGAATTAATATTCAAGACTAAATTTGACCATTTCATCAATATTCTTGAAACTCTCTAAAATTTGTTTACATTAATTATCCTTAGGCTGAGAATGTTAACCTGAATATTTATCTGTTCTCATAAGCAAATCACTTTTATTAGCATTTACTTTGATGTTGCTTCATGTGTAAGAATAATTCAAGGTTAATTGATTTATAAACAGAAAACTTCAATGAAATTGATTCAATTAATAATTTCTAAAGCAAAATTACATTCACTTTATTATTAATATATTGTGAATTACTGAAGATGGAAGGCAATTTAATATAAAAATTGCTCAAATCTAATCAAAATGGGTGTTTGCATATAAAATTTAGTGTAACTTTTAATCCAATAATTATGCTTACTATCACATCTAAAAAAAAGCAAATTAACCCCATCAATTTAATAACATTTGACACCTTCCATCATTCAAACTTTTTCAGTAAGTTCATATAAGAAATTAAATTCTTCCCAAGTGTGATTTTTTATCTAATAAACATACTTATTCAAAGTGAAGATTTATGAGAAGAAAGATTAGGTCCAAAATCTAAGAGACTTATCTAAAATTCCTCTTATTAAGTTCCAACCCACTAGAATGTAAATATTTTATTAAAATGGGCCAGAGATTGTGCTTATATTATTAGGATATAATTAATATGAACCTAATAATAATGATTAATGTAATCACTTTACCTTTCAACTTTGAAGATATTTCTGTAAGAATGAATTGAACATTTTACTTAATTTTAACTACTATCTCCTTTCATCATTAAGTTCTAAAAAGATTGATTATTAAATTCATGCAAAAGAGGCTTGAGGTTTGAGTAAATTTTCACAAAATTATTAGTTTACACATATCTCGATAATATGATAAAATAAAGTAAAAGCAGAATGGAACTTTGTTTTTGAAATATTAAAAATTTTCAAATTATTCTTTAATCTTTTGGAATTGTTTTTGTATTTTCATTTTCAGTTCTCTCAAAGAAAATTATTAGACCATTTATTTTTTCATATTTTCATAGCATCCATTATTAATCTCCTACTTTTGATAATTTATCTTTTTCTCAATCAGCTAAAAAGATTAAAATGTTTTTATAGAGAACAGACACTATCTGCTAAGAAAATTGTTTATAAAAGGTCTTTATCCTCTATTCTTGGAATAAATTTTGGAAGAAGTCTATACACAGAAGTTGTAAATTAAATAATCAATATCTGAAAAGGTTGTAAGGATTTATTTACAAGCACAACCTTGGCCTGAGTCGGGTACTCTTTGACCATTATCTAAAATATGTAAAGGTAGTTTGAATTCCAAAGAAACTGTATTAATAAATAAAATTTTGTTGATTTAAAACCATGAGAAAAAAATTTACTATCATTTTTTTTAATCCTTAATTAAAAGAATTACATTAAAAGATTTGTTGCTTTAATAAAGTAATAAATATCAAATAATTACTTGAGACTTTGAAGTTCAAAATAAAGAATTAATACAAACACCTCGAGAAATTAAAAAGATGTCTTTGCTAATAGGCCAAATATCCCTTCAAATTTTGAATGTAGAGAGCTGATGAAACATACTAATTGTACTCAGCAAACAATTTGAGTTAAAATAAGTTGAAACATAATTATAAAGACAAATCTAGGTTTTAAATAATATCAAAAATAAATTATTTCATAACATGAATTTTTAATAATAAGATTGCACTAACAATTTAAAAAATTAAGAAATAGGAAAATATATTGATGAAGATTTATTTTTCTGCATTTACACTTATGGGTTTTAGAGTTTAAGTTAAATTGTAAGAGAATCTAATGTAAGCAATAATGAGTTAACATATATGACAAGAATGAAAATTCAACTTTATTTTAACAATACACTTTAACTTTTGTAAAACTTTGAGCATGGTGTTTTCAAATTGATACGAGCATTCAATCAAATTTCTGTTAAAATTCAGATGATTTTCTAAAGTATAATGACTTTATTTATTATATATTTGGCAATAATAAAATGAAATAAAACTTACAAAACAATAAAAGTTTAACTAACAAGTTAATTCTAAGAATATGAAATTGATATGAAAAGGTGCTGCTTCATAACTTTAATAGCTATTTCTCGATATAATTCTTCTCATTAGATCCTTTTTCAATGCAGCCAAATAAAATTATATAGCTTCATTTTTGTTCCCTAATTCAAATAGTGAATCAGCTAAATTGAAATATAACTCAGAATTATGTACCTTTGCATCTCAATCTTTAAGGTTGAAATAGCTTAATCAAAACATAGAATTGCATCTGCATATTTCTTTAACTTATGTAGTGCCAAGCTTAAATTATATTTAAATTTATCTTTATTACTCAAAGTTTAATCAAGTATGGGATTAATTGAAACTGCTTTGTCAAAACAGTCAATAGCTTCTTAGTATTTCTGGAATTTTCTTTAATGACGAACCTATACAATAATATATTGAAATATTACCTTTGTTACACCAAGCTTTATAATCTTTGGGATTAATTGAAATTAGTTTTTCGTAGCGCTAAATTGATTCTTAGTATTTCTATAAATCATATACAATCAAAAAATAATGTAAATGAATGAAATATAAAAGACCTATTTTAATAAGATTTGCAATACCTTAATAAAATATTTTCAAAAAGTCTTAAAATTACTACTATTTTAAATCATCAGTCACCTAATTAGATTCTTTTCTGGTACCCTAATATTAGTAGTTCCAAGAATATTATACAATTGGAATATTGGAATTAATTTTAAATAAATAATTTATTTATTATTCTAATAATTAATTAAAACAGATACATAAGTGCTAAAAATTTGAAAAAGTGAATTATCTAATATTTATTTTACTGATAACATTAACATAGATAAGGTATTAACTGATTGTAATATATATCTTCTTAATCCTGTTACAATTTTTCTCGGTAGGTGATTCAAGCCTATGAATATTAAATTATTGTAACCTTGACATAGAAGAAAAAGAATAAAAATATCTAATTATTTTAACATCTTATAGTAAAATTAAATGACTTATAGAATAGCTGATAAGTAATAAATCTGTTTAGGGAATCTAGCTGGGAATAAAATATTTTGACTAAAATTGAATAGTTGATATCATTCATTTTGGAATTAATCCATTAAAATCTGAGAGAAGGTCAAGTGGATTTATCTGATTCATATTTAATTTTTA